ATGTGCATAGGGATTTGATTCTTAGAAGGTCCCATTCAACCATTTCATCCTCTCCTGGTTAGAGCTTTTTCCAGGATGCTTGGAAGACAGTTAATGCTGTGAATTAGGGCGTCTAGAGTTTTTCCAAGCTTTTCTCTAATGCAGTTTACAGTCCTTGGTTTTAGTCCTAGGTCTGTGATCCATGATCCATTTTCAGGTATTTTTTGTGTATGGAGTTACATGTGGACCTTGCTTGAGTTTTCTGCAGATAGTTTTCCAATTTTGTCAAAACCATTTATTAAAAATGCTGTTGTTTTCCCACTTAACTGACCTCATCTCCTTATAAAAAAATCAGTTGGACATAGGTAGACAGGCTGATTTCTGGGTTCTCAATTCTATTCCATTGATCCTTGTTTCTGTAGCTGTACCGGTGCCACACTGTGTTGACCACCATGGTCTCGTAGAATCTGAAATCAGGGAGTGAGATGTGTCCTACCTTCTTTCTCTTTTTTAGGAGTGGCTTGCTTATTTGGGGCCTCTTTCCATTCCAAATTAAATTGGAGATTGCCTTTTCCATCTCGGTGAAGAATGAAATTGGTATTTGTATTGAGATTGCATTGAATGTATAAATTGCCTTTGGTAATATTGTCACTTTCACAATATTGAGTCTTCCTATCCATGAGCAAGAATATTCTTTCATTTCTTCAGGTCTCTTTTTATTTCTTGTAGTAATGTTTTGTAATTTTCTTTCAATAGATCCTTTGTGGTTCTGGTTAGATTTACTCCCAAGTATTTTATCTTGTGATTAGCTACTGTGATGTACATTGTTTTTCTTAGCTCCAGCTCTGTATTCTCTTTGTCACTGTAGAGAAATCCAATTGATTTTTGTATGTTGATCTTGTATCCTGCCACTTTGCTGAATTGGTCAACTATGTCCAGTAGTTTTCTTGCTGAGTCTTTAGGGTTTTCTAACTATACTATCATATTATTTGCATATCGAGATAATTTTACCTCCTCTTTGCTACTTTGGATACCTCTTATTTTTTTTCCTCTTGTCTTGCTGCTATTGCTCAGACTTCCAATACAATATTGAATAGGAGAGGTGATAGTGTATCCTTGCCTAGTTCTTGTTCTCAAAGGGAATGCCTTAATCTCTCTCCATTAAGAACAATGTTGGCTCTTGGGTTTGTGTATATACTTCTTACTATGTTGAAGAAATTCCCTTCTAAGCCTATTTTGTTGAGTGTTTTAATCAGGAAAGGGTGTTGGATTTTTTTCAAAGGCCTTTTCTGCATCAATTGATAAAATCGTGTTGTTCTTGTCCCACTTGGTCATGGTGAATTATTTTTTTATGTATCATTGGATTTTATTGGCCATGATTTTATTAAGGATTTTTCATTTATGTTCATGAGAGATATTGGCCTATAGTTTTCTATTTTGATAGGGGCTTTACCTGGCTTTGGTATCAACGATATGTTTGTTTCATAAAATGAGTCTGGGAGAATTCCATCTTTTTCTATTTCCTGAAATAGTTTATGTAGAACTGGTGACAGTTCTCCTCTGAATGTTTGATAAAATCCACGTGTAAAACCATCTGGTCCAGGGCTTTTTTTGGTCTGGAAGTTGTTTTATCACCTTTTCAGTTTCTTCTTTGTAATGAGACTGTTCAGGTGTTTAATTTCCGTTTATGTCAGTTTAGGTAGGTTGTGAATTTCTAAGTATTTGTCCATTTCCTCTTGGTTTTAATATTTGTTTGAGTATAGTTTTTCATAGCTCATAGAATTTTTAGAAAACAATGTTTCATATCCTTTTACACTGGCCATTCTTTTAAAATTTAAATTAGTTAATTAAATTAAAATATAAATTAAAGATATGATTGATTAAAAATTCCTGGCAATTTAGGCTTTCAAGTTTCCCCTCCATGTGAAGGCCATTGTTAGTTGCTTTTGTTTACACTCTAATTCATGGTGACCTCAAGTCCAAAAGAATTATCTGGTCTTCACAGTTGTTAAGGAGCACTCCTGGTGTAGTCTGTAATGAGTTTTGCTGCTAACCAAAAGGCAGTACATGTTTCTACTAGTTTGAATGTACCAGTGGTGCTGAGAGAAGAAAAAGAGTAGTCTCCCCTGCAAAGACTTACAGCCTTGGAGATCCAAAGGAGGGTCCTTGTGAATCAGAATTAAATCGATGATCATGGGTCAAAATAGGTAACATACTTGAGTCCTTTCTTGAGGTCTCTGTGAATTTTGAGAGGCTTCCAATCTTGAGGGCTTATCTTACAACATCATATGGGATAATCTCCTGTTGTGACCCATGCAGTTTTCACTTGCTAATATTCTTAAGTAGATCACCAGCCATTTCTTGCTAGTCTGTCTCTATTTGTAAACTCCACTGAAACCTGTTCACTATGAGCAGGCCTGCTTGTATTTGAAATACTGATAGTACAGTTTCAAGAATCATAGCAACATGCAAAGCGCCACAGCTTACAGATGGATGGTGGCTATATTATTTATACTTTCAGAATTCCAGATCTTTTCAAACAGGTCTCCAGCCACAGCCATTTGTTCAGACTGATCTGCTTCCCCAGAGCCCTCTGAATGGCTGCTGCTCTGATGGAAGCTTCTATTTCCACCACAACTCTATTCATTTTAATGCAGTACCTGGCTTGTCTCTCACTGACCTGATTCATGGGTTCATCTCATTTCTATTCTCTATTTGTACTGCATTTCCTGACTCCTCCTCTCCTCTATCTGTTTGTCTACCAACTCCACATATGCTCCTGGGCAAAGCCTGCTCTTTGATGTGTGTAAAAGCTCTGAGGCCCCATGGTGCTGCTCCACCAGACACCGACCTGTACAAACCTGTCTCCTTAAGGGGGCGGGGGGCGGATACCTAAGACAGAGACACATGTTCAAGTGGGCAGATGTTCTTCGTTCTAAGAACCGTGAGGCAGACTCTTTCTAATATGCATATATCATCTTTATAACCAATTGCTCTTTTCATTTTGTGTCATCTGCAAAGGGTTTTCCCCTTAAAATTTAAAACAAGTTTATTGTTGAGGTGTCTATGTATTCTGAGTGTCTTCTGATTTAGAGGGTTTTTCTCCAGCACCATAAAAGACAATCTTCTCATCTGCAGCGTTTTCACGTACTAATTTTTCAGAAACGGTTAACTAGACCTTTCTTCAAAGTCTGTCTTAATCTCTACACTCCACTGAACCCATTCACAATGAATAATCTCATTGGTCTTTATGTTTGAGTCAACTCTACTCTAACTCATGACAATCCTGAATGCTAGAACTCATGATGCTCAGGATTGATTTCTATTTATGTTAAAGAATATGGAACATAGTTTAATAAATTAAATTATGTTCCCTGCTCCATTCTAGTTAAAATACCCTGGTCTTTGATTTGTAAAGCTAAGACCATAAATGGCTCTATAGAAAAACTCTCATTGTATGAAAGTTTAACAGGACAGCAAGCAATAAATGTTGGCAAGGATGTGAAGAGATAGGAACTCTTATGCATTGTTGGTTGGATTTTAAGATGGTATAATTATAAATGGTAAAACCATTCTGGAAGGCAGTTTGGCATTTCCTCAAAAAGCCGAACATAGAGACTCCATATGACCCACCAATTCTACTATTAGGGATATACCCCAAAGAAATTAGAACTTAGCACAAATAGAGAATTGTACACCAATGTGCATAGCAGCATTATTCACCATCACAAGAACATGGAAACAGCTCAAATGTCCAACTACAATAAAAGGGATTGAGAAATTGTGATACATTCACATGATGGAATACTATGCAGCACTCAGGAGAAACCATTTTGAAAATCACTATATAACTTGGAAGGGACTTGACAGCATAACACTGAGTGAACTAACTCAGTCTCATAAGGAAAAATACTGCATAAGACCATTATTATAGAAATAGTAAGATAACTAGTAAAACCTGAATGAGGATCCAAGGGGGGTGGAGAGGTGGGAGCAAAGAGATGAGGATGGGCAGGGAGGATATTATAGGGTCACGCAATTTGTGGAGTAAAGAGAGGAAGAATAAAGGAAATGGGAAAGATCCAGCAGGTATCTGGAAATTCAGGGTAATGGTGGGTATAATTTAATGATAATTAACTTTATAAAACATAACAAATGGGAATGATTATATTAAACACAGTGTGAATGAAGGATTATGTGAAACAAATGTATATGAACTATGTAAGCAAACCATATAAAATAAAAATAGGGGGAACCCCCCACAATCCTTCACTGTGATCTTCTACCCTAAATGAATGTTACTGTTTAGAGAAACAGGGAAGAATCTCTGAAGCAGAGAAGGAGCCTGGCCTGCCTCGAGGATAAAAGATGCAGCACATGGTCACCCTTTTAGCCAAAGAAATGAAGACAATGCTCCAACAACAAGTTAAAGTCTGGATACTGCCTCAGTGAGCAGAAGCTCTGTGTTAAAAGAGTGAAATCACTGTTTCAGTAAAGTATGAATAGTTTATCCAGTGACACAACGAGTCCTGTAACTCTGGACACAAAATAATGAAATGCAGATTATTAATTGACTGTAAAAGCCCTGACTATTTGGGAAAAGGAAGGCAGTCTTGGAGAAAGATCTCATTGCCTTTTAGGCCTGTTAATAAGGAAGTGTATGGATAAAAACAATTCCATCTAGTCTCTAATTAGTGGCTGCGGAAAGGATCCTTGTCCAGTAACAGTCTCGAGTGTCAGGAGAACTGTACTCCATAGCATGTTCAAAGGCAGACATTTTTTTTCAGAATGAAATCACCTGTTTTTTTCTTCCAAAGCATCTCTGGGTGGACTCAAACTTCCAACCTTTCAGTTAGCAGGTGAACTCATTCATTTTTTCACCACCCAGGTTTTCCTTAAAGTTTACAGTAGCCTAGTGAAGCGATTTGAAAGGGATCAGTAATTAACTCTGTTAAGTTTTAGAGACGGATGCCAAACAAGTGGTCAATTGAAAAACGAGGTCAGTTGAAGAAGGTACATACCTGCTTTTGTAGTCTTTTAGGACTCTGTTAGTGTAGAAGGTGGCTGCGTCATTCATCTCCTTGACATAAGGACCAGGCTTAGGAGACTGAGAGAACAGCACCATCACCCAAGCAGAGATGGAAAAAAAAAACAAACAACAAGGACAGAGTAAGAAAGATAATGCCTTATGGAGGAAGTAAAGCAACTAAGATGTTGACCTAAATTGCGGAGACTAATCTGAATATGTAAATTGACTCAGTGACTGGAGAAATGGGATTAAGTCTGTCAGAGACGATGCGACTGGCTCAGGATAAGGCATCAGGGTCACTATGAGTCGCAGGCAACTCGATGGCACATAACAACAACAAGAACAAAGTTGGTAAAGCTCTTAGCACACCACAGAATCTGAAACACTTATCTTTCCACTGGGTGGAAAGGAGCTGACACAGCCTGAAAGGCTCTGCAGGACATCAGTCTGAGGAGAAGGTGCACAGAGAAGGATGCAAAATCCACAGCTGGAGTTTTTCTAAACGCCCACAGATACAGCCAGGTGCTGTCGATATTCCACCTACACTCACCACGGCTATCCACCCCAGGGCAGGGATGCTCTCGCTCACAGCCGAGAGGTGGTTGAACATGCTGCTGCCCCGATTTCTCTCTCTGAAAGTCTGGATTTCCTGAATCTTCTCCGAAATTGGTTTCAGCAGTGCAGCCACGTCATTCTGTAAGCAGACAAGGGTTGTGACTTGTTACTAAGGAAAGAACAGAGAAACACCTCTATTCACACTGGATTAAGCTGGTATACTTAGGATGGTCCAGATCTTCTAGAATAGAATGGATTTGTTGTTTTTGTCAGGATAATACTGTTCATAGGGTTTTCTGTTCATAGCGTTTTCAGGATCTATTGTTCATAGGGTTGCTATGGGTCATACTTGACAGCATCTGACAACATTAAATACTCTCCTTTCATTCCCTGTAGATTTCACATTCCATATACTTTTTATTCCTAACTTGATTTTGTTGTTGACAATACAGACAGTGAAAACACACGGAAATTTAAAAGTTTCTTTCCACAAGTAAACTGAGTAACACTGAATATACTTCTAAACATATAAAACCATTTCCCCTTCCTTCTATGAGCTATTTCTCACTCATTGACAAAAACTGCCTCCAAAAAGTTCTATTTAATCTTTTGAGCTGCTATTGCCAATTTGATCATACACAGAGCATTTTAAAAGAGCACAGTGCTCCAGGCAGATCATATTTACTGCTTTGCTAAAGTACTGTTTGATTTTAAGATGAACAATAGTCAACTTTAGATGCTGATTGTTTAATTTGATAGACTTCAGGGGATACTTCTGGTATATCGTTTAAAGATTATCTCAGAGCAATAGTTCATTCAGTCTCCATAGTTCTAGAAAACTGGGATTCTGTAAGAATTTTAATTCTATTTTGCATTTCTCTCCTTTTAATCAGGATTCTTCTATGGAATCTTGGATAAAATGTCGAGTAATGATAGTTACACATCATGTCCAGTTATTTTGGTCTCATCACCAAGGAGTTTATAGGAGTATTAATAATACATTTCATATTTTCCTCCAACTTCTGATGCTTTCTTTCTCAGTTGCTCCACATGAATAAGACCAGATGCGTGGATGGAATGGCAATGTGTAAACTTTTAAGACCTCAGGCACTACGTAATGAACAAAAGAACTAAACAGGATTTTAGATCAAATAATCTGGATATCCCATGGAACTATGAACTAAACTTCCAAACCACAGAACCAAATCCAATAAAATGGTTTGTTGTATATAAGCAGCCTTAATAGCTACTCTTTGTCTTCTGTAATTATTGTAAATATATCTATCGTACAACTGTTACAATGAAACTTTCTGTAAGTGTGTAATTTATTGACAAGCTGTGCAGCCCTTGTTGTTGTTGTTTTGTACCATGGAGTTGGAACCGACCATAGCTGACCCTCTGGTAGGTTTTCAGAGGCAGTTAATTACATAGAAGATTCCCCCCCTCCTCCCCCCGTGGAGCAGCTGGTGGCCTCGAATCACGTGCCTTCGAGATTGCAAAGCAGCTTCTTGCCACTAGGCTGCCAGAGCCCCCTATACAATAGTCAGCTGTGCAATCCTAGTCTTTTTTTTTTAATGTCTAGCTTTTTAAATTTGATTTTTAACATCTGGTTATTTATGATTATATATATGTACATACATACGTACATAAATACATATACATACATCTATATATATATATATACATATATATACCCACACACATTTTTTTAAAGCTTCTCAGTCATCATCTAGAAAAGAAATTATTTCAGAATAACATCATTTTAAAACTCTGATCTAGCACGGTCACGATTACATACCATAAAGCAGGTACAAGATATTTTACATTTACAGAGGTATGATACAGTATGGTACTATATCTACAATACTAGGGGATACAATTAAAAAGGCATTATTTGAGACTTGGTTCTAGCAGAGGGACCAAAGGATGGAGTCACATAGCTCTGGTACAGAAACGCACCTTTTAAGATAGGATTTCCTTTCATTAGTGGCACGGTTCTAAGTACTCATTACTCTTCATGAATATCAGCTAAAAATACAACCCAAGATTCCCCTCCCCCTTCACTTTTAGCCCTCTTTCCTCCCCTCCCTCCTACTTCTAGTAACCACTAATAAACTTTTGTCTCTATACATTTGTCTTTTCTTTTTATATAAATGTGGTCATATAGTAATTTTTGCAAGATACAGAAAACTCTTACAGTGAATCCATGAGAAATTATTTGCAACTGCAAAGGACTGGTGATTTGACAACAACCACAGTAACAACAACAACAACAACAGCATACATTTAAAGAAAAGTATAATGAGATAGTGTGTAAATATAGATATTGTTATTGTTATGTGCCATCAAGTCACCTGTGACCCATAGTGACCCTATGTACAACAGCTCTGAACCTCTCCCTGTCCTGATCCAGTCTCACTAATTCTGAAACAACCCCCATTGCCCCAGTCACTGTATCAATCCATCTCATCCAGGGTCTTCCTCTCCTGTGCTGTCCCTCCACCCTTCCAAGCATGATGTCTTTCTCCAAGGACCTTTCCTCCTGGCCACATGCCCAAAGTATGTGAGACAGAGGTGCAAAATCCTAGCCTTCAAGAAGAAACTTGGTTTCACCCTCTCTAAAACAGACCTATTTGTTTTCTTGGCAGTCCATGGTATACTTATGTGTATTTGTGTGTGGAGGCTCCTGTGAGATTCCCCTATCCCATCTGTAAAATCAGGCTGGTAAGGGTCTTAATTTCACAGGGTTCTAACAGGGAGTAAATGAGAGAGCACCTACCTCTGTGTTTGGTACCAACCCAAACCAAACCCACCACCATCGAGTTTATTCTATTCATAGAGACCACATAGAAGAGCCTAGAGCTGCCCTGTCAGGTTTCCAGGCTGTAATCCTTATGGAAACAGACTGCTCTATCTTTCTCCTGCAGAGCAGCTAGTGAATTTGAACCCTGACCTTATGTTTAGCAGCCAAATGCTTAGACCACAGTGCCACTAGAGCTCTTTGTCTTTGGCATAAGGCTAGATAACTGTGGTTGTTCCACAAGTGTTGAATAATCTGACTGGCATTTGTCTAGGGATAGTTCCAGCGGTCAAGCACTTGGCTACTAAACAAAAGGTCAGTGGCTTGACTCTACTTAAGGGTAAACTGGTAGAAAGGTCCAGTGATCTGCTTCTGAAAGGTCACAGCCATGAAAACCCTGTGAAGCCCAGTCTATTCTGACACAGGGTTCATAACAAATTGGAGTCGGCTTGGTTTCTTGATGTGACTGGCTCTTAGTGATCTCCATGGTGATCAATTTAAAAGTCCCTGATCAGCTGAATTCACAGAGCAGCTCTTTCCTAACACACAAAAGGACACAAAGAGAGCTTTCCTAATTGAGATCTGCAAATCGAGAGGCATACTTTTGTTCTGGAGAGAAGTACACAGAGTGTTCTTCAAGCTCCTCAGTGGATTTTTTTTTTAATTCTTCCATATTAAAGGAGGGAGAAAACAAAAACCATTGCAGGGAAAGCTAGATAGGCCTTAAAGAAAATTCACAAGTACATTCCTGCCTCTCTCCTTCCCTTGTGTCCTTAAAATGGAAAGCTCTTTCTCTTATTTGGCATGAAGACTCTTGAATCAGTGTCTAATGGCAAAGCTGGAAAACCAAAGACCCCTTACCTTTACACACTCTCTTGGGGACCTCACTCTTTGGCAAGCAAATATTTCCCTCTTCAAGGGATTCTTTTAAACCCAAATTCAGCACATGATCAAAAGTGTGTGACAGATTTCCCCAGAAGGCAAGTAGTTTTTAATTATGGCAGAACTACTAAAAAGCATGCTAATTTTCTCCACGCATTTGCTAAGCCATACTATCCCTGATGCAGTGACATTTTTGAGAAAGGCCAGATTATCTGAATTGTTGGTGATATCTGGCCTATTGCCCTAAGGGGAAAAAGAACCAGAAACTGTGTATTTATAATGTAAGCTAGATTTATGAAGGCCATCTTTGTTTATCTTTGTTTCCCAAGAACAAACTCTTAAGTCCAAGGAGACAGAGTCTTTTAGACGATATTTTATATTGGTTATCTGATGAAAGCATCATAAAGACTGAGAAAGGTTCCTTTTGCCTTAGTTTGGCAATTGCTAGAAGATGTGCCTTTTTTTTTTAAAGCAATGCTAAGATAACTAAGTATAATAGCTATTTGCACCACTCCAATAAACAGTACTGCTTTTATTCCGTGCCAATAGATTTCTCCTACAAAGTACACTTGACTTCTCTGGCTCATCCTGAACTGCCACAGCTGGAATCAGAAATAGAGAAAGAATACTAGAATTATGGGGTTCTATCAAGGCTTAGTATGTGGGATGTGAGACAGAAAGCCAATGTGAAAGGATCATAATTAGAGAAACTTCCACCTGCGTTTGACATAAAGTGCACTATCTTTACATGCACTGCTCTGCTTGGGTACACTGCAACTGGGTATTCGGAGTGTCTTTCCACCCAGGGTTCTGGATGTATAGTTTTGGGAGTTGTGGTGTTAACCAAAACTCTGAGCCTCTCTAATAGTTCAGTTTCCTCAGCAGTTCCACAGGGGAAAAGATGGGCAATTCACAGCCTCAGAAAAACCTCTGGAGAATTAGCTATGAGTCAGTTCGCACTATGAGTTCAATCTAGGAAGGAAATCTGGCAGAGAAGTGGTTAAGTGGTTGGCTACTAACTGGAATGTGACCAGTTCTAATCCACCAGCTGCTCTTCAGGAGAAAGATGTCTGCTTATGTAAAGGTTACAATTTTGATAAACCAGTGAGGCAACTATACTCTCTCATAGAGTGAGCTAGAATTGATACAATAGGATGGGTAGTAGGATCTTCCCTAGAGGCTAATCTTTCAGAACTATACTGGATAAGATTCTGTTGTGATACACAGGGTTTTCACCGGCTAATTTGCAGATGCAGTTTACTAGGCCTTTTTTCCTTGTTTGTCTTAGTCTGGAAGTTCATAGAAATCTATCCATTAGTGTGATAAGACTGGTGTTTAAAATATCAGAGGCAAAAAAAAGTATCAGAGGTATAGCTACTAGCATCAGAGTAACATGCAAGCTAACACAGTAAGATGAACTGACAGTTGGGTGGTTGCAGGCATGTATTGGGCATACT